GTACAGAAATATCAAATGATTTTTTTCCATCTTCCATCTTTTTTTTTTAATGTAAATATTGTGCCAGCAGCATGACAGGAAAACATATTCCCTTTGTGTCCTGCAAAGCTTGCCTATTAATCCCAAAGGTAAACTCTCATAATTGTTCATGAACAGCCCTTTCCACTATTATTTCTAAGTGTATGTGATGCTTTACAAGTCTTGCCCCCAGAAAGCATCCTGGAAACCAAGCACTTAAAATTCAGGGCCAAACAAGACACTACTATTAAAAACAATCAGCCGATGCAAACACATAGCACTGCAAGAGCTGAGTTAGAAGTCTTCCTTTAAATCACCTCCACACTTGCTAAGGAAAGCAAATTCATCTCACTGGACGCCAGCATTGTATAATTAACTATATGTAATCTAAAACTCCTTACAGATGAACTGTAGCCACCACTGGGATGAAAAAAAAAAAAAAATCAAGTCTTTTAATAGCATTTTTCTATTATGTTTGAATAATTTCCTCACTCTATCATTGAGTAATTTTTAACCAGACCTTTCTGATTCAGTCTAAGTAAAGCTGTCAAGAACAATAAATATCTATCTCCTTAGTAGTGAATGCTTTAAAAAGATGCAAAGAAGAAAGCAATACCCCTATTTCACAGCTAAGGAACCAAGTCCATTGAACCTACCAATTTCTCTCCCTTGACTGGAAGCTGTCTTTCCCAGGCAAAAGTCTGTTGTCACTTTCTCTAACACTTTTCTTGAGGAAATGAGGCTTGAGCTCACATTCTTTCTGTTTGCCCTAAGCTAATAACTCCTGGAAATATTAAACACACTGATAAATTGTGAAGTCTCCAACCTCAGAGAGATTCAAAACATGTCTGGATTGGGCGCTCCTGCTCAGTCTTACCTTGCTTGAGGGGGACTATGCAGGCTCCAGAGGTGCCTTCCAGCCTCAACCATTCTGATACTCTGATTAAACTTTTTTTTTTTCATTTTTTTAGTAATGAAGCTAGCAAAATCTGTAAAAGAACTACTGAGCCAAACCGGGGGGGGGTGGGGAGGAGGGGGGGGGAGGAGGAAAAAAAATGAATATAAGCATTAATTTCTTCTGAAGAGATTACGGTATTCAGCAACCAGTGAGGTCGATATATTTGATGGAGATGTCCTTTCTGAGAGTCCTGTTCTGAAAGCCCTTTCATAATACTTAGTGTCCTGCTTCCCAGCTTTATTCTTGGGAAGCTAACCCTCCAACTACCACGTCTCTGAATACCAGAAGCCTATCTATGGGATTTTCAGCTTGAAATATTGCCTTTCTTTCAGCAGATAACAAAATCTCACTGACTTCATTGCACTGAGCTTTCTCTCAATGGCTGTTCAAAGATTTTCTGCTGGATGACTTCATCAAGATGAATGCTAATAAGCAATTATTTGAGTCCCGAAGGATTCAAATCAAAAAAGCTTTAACATAGAAGTGACTTTTCGCATGTGTTCCAGCCCTTTGAGGAAGGTATCAGAACACTCTTCCTGGCAGCAAGCTGAGTGTCTGTGAACTCAGCTCATGGATTGCAAAAAGGGAGAGACAAATAGAAAGGATCTAGGCTCCTAAAACACAGGCTCTGCATAAAATTTGAGCATTTGGATCCAGAATTGGTTTCACCATGCTCTAGGGGCATGAAATGAGGAAATGAGGCTCTAGGGATTCTTGCTCCTCAGTCTATAGCCTACAACCTTGTCCTAAAGCGAGATAAATGTGAGCTGTGTCCTCTGTATCACTGGGCACTCTTTATATTAGACAATGAACTTTTAATATAAAAATATACAAATGTTTCTTTGTCTGATTGACTGGCAATTATGTCTACTCCCTCCAACTGACTGTCCCAGTCTCTAGATAGTCATATTCCAAGTGCAGCTCAATACATCAATACTTTTCCACAGCTGCAAGAGGAGTGGTTGGAAAACAAAACAAAAAAAAAATCACAATAGTTTTCTAAATTTCATTCCCCAAAATGTCTGTTTTGCACAACACACCCACATGGATGTGGTGCAAACAGTCCCTCTCGATGGGAAGCTCTGAGATCCAGAGAAGCATCAGTCAGCTTGGTGCACTGCAGGATCACAGGGCTGTTCCATCAAATGCAGTGAGAGATGTACTTCAGCTTGGAGAGTGCAGTCATCACAGCCCCATCGTCCTTTTGTAGGGCAAGTTCAGTAAATCCATAATCAAAAGGATTTTGTTTGTTTTTAATTTCCTTAATCAGCTTAATTCCTGACAACAAAGTAAGACATCAGATTGTTTTAAATGGCAGAATTCCAAATAACAAAGTTCAATTAAAGCATTAATGACAGCAACTTGGGATATTAACTGGGAATTATTTACTGGCTGGAAAAAATGGTTCTGTTTTGAAAATTTCTATTTATAATTACATTGTTTCAGGCCAAGTCTTATAGAGCTTGTTCAGGAAAATTTCTATAAGCTACCAAAAATAAATAAATAAATAAATAAATGGTATGAATATGTTCATCAGGACTTGAACTTTTTGGACAATAATCTTAGGGGTCATTTTCTTTTTTTAGTGCAGTGCTTCTGAGCAAATGACATCAGCACAGCATATACCACCAGTTCTTTATCCATGTGTAAGCAAAGGAGTATCAGATATTTATGTTTTGAAACACAATGGAGCATTTATAAATTGCATCCAGAGACTTGAAATCTGCATCTGAAACCTTTTGTCTCAAATGTCTTATTTGTAAAATGAGCTTAAAGCAATATTTACCTACTTAGTAGTTTTTTGTTTTTTAATTACTGCTGACTGTCCTTGACTGAAATATTCTCAATGGGCAAAATTCATCCCTGCTGCCTGGGGAAACAAGCACCAAGTGTAAGGCTTAGGCACAATCTTTGGTCCCTACAACCATTGCATCTTATACCCAAAAAGTTGTCAGCTTCTTAGATGTATCACATCAATTGCAGTAATATGTTGTGATGGGAAATACTCAGGTTCAATGCTAATAAAATTCCTGTTTGCACAGAGCATCCATGCTTACAAGAGTTAGAGTTTTCTTTAAAAAAATACCTCCCTTTCTTTGCTACCCCAGGAATAAAATAAACTGTTCTACTTTAGGTACATTCCAATTGGGTACCGACCAGTAAAATTGGAAAAAAAATATGTATTTGCATTTATATGATAAGGAACTTTAATGGTTGAGCATTTCAGCAGTCTGAACATTTCTTTCCAATCAGAGAAATAAATCTTGGTTCTGTTAATATCCACAGCAAAACTTCTGATGAGTGATGCAGGGAAGGATCTCTCCAAGAGCTTTCTGAGTTGGAGAACCTCAGCACTTTGTTAAAGCAGCCTGCAGTTTGAATTTGTTAATACATTCTTCTTTAAGGCAAGCAGCTTGAAATTTGTTTGTGGTTCTTCTGAGTCATCATTTACTTCTTAAGCACAAGAGTGAGTATTTTCTAAGAACACTTTCAGGCTTTGGTTGTTCTACAGCGCGTGCCCAACAGCTTCCCTTTTTAGACCCCATGTTTTTATTCTCTTTGTCTAATACACTCTTTTTATTCTCATACAAACGGTGTTTGTCTTTGAAAGGCATTGATTCGAACTAAAACACCAGCATACATAGGTGACTTCAAAGCTTTTATGCAAAGAACACCTTACAAGTGACCATAATTTTTATTTTTGCTGTGCCATTCATTTATACAAAATATGCAGGGCCACTCTGCCTGTTGCCTGGCCTTCCTCAGTTCAAATAAGAAAGAAACAGGAAAGCTGGAAAACAAAGTTCAGCCACTGTCCTAGGATTTATTTGTCGTTATGGAAGTTAACTTTTTTCCCACTGAATCTAGTGCTGGATAGTCTCAGGTCTTTACACCTGTTTTTAGTCTGAGGAAACTCTAGGAAACGTCTGTGTCTTGGGCAGAAAGGTTTGTATTTCAAACTGAATTCTTGGAAAGCCCTTGTGAGAGCTAGTACACATGTAACACAGGTCCCTTTGGGAGCTCAAGTCAAATCAGTGACCTATGCTTATACGAGCTCCATTTCTCACAGTGTTTCTAAGGGCAGATTTGAATACACTGATACACTGAGCAGGTGGAAAAAGTCAGAGGTTCCTACATACGTGATCAGATCCCAGTGAACAGCTCTTCCTTCTGCCAGGCTTTTGCTGAGGATACTTAATGTCTAATAGGAAATAGAGAAATTATCTTTCTTGTTCTCCCTGAAGTACTGTACATACCGTGTATCTCAAGGAAACAAACTATCAAAAGAGATCTCTATTTCTTTCTATAGCAAGCAGTTCTTACACAGGTGGGCTGTCATGACCCAAAAATCATACAGCATCTGACCCACAGCCTTGCTTCACACTACTGAATATTGAGAAAAATTTTACTAAACAGAACTACATCATCATTAAGCTTTTGTATTTCATTATATGCCAAAAGTAAGCTTAGCACATTTTGTAGGGCAACAATTTACCCAGAGGTAAAAATATGATAGAACTTGTAGGGGTGCTTTGTATTAGTTTCCACAAACAGGAGGCTTACCTGAAACTTTGACTTTTATGACGGCAGGTTTGCAGGATAAAACTGTCATCTGCTAAAGAAGGATTCCACAGAAATTATCCACAGGGAGATTTAGATCTTGTTGAGGTGTAGCAGCCATTATTTTTTACAAATAAATACCATTAAAACTCAGTAATACAGTTGACTTTAAGAGACCTGAGAAGTCCAGACTTAGGCAAAATAAATTTTTTGGGGGAAAAAAAAAAATTAACAAGGGAATTAGATCTATTTATTTTTACATATAAATCAGGATGTCTCTGAAACTCACAGGAATAGAAGAAATAGCTTGTTTGAGAAAATTGAAACACATCTCCTTTGTAAGCTCCCACTCCATAGGAAAGCTTCATGCTCTCTGAAGGGGCTAGAATCTCTTGCCAAGGAGGTACTTGGTCATTAATTTTTTAAATTAATGCTCCAGGATATTCACACAAAGACACAGATATCGACTACTGTGTAGAATATATTTTTAATTGGAAGAAGCCATGCCAGCCAAGCTATAAAACAAGTACAAGCTGTTAGATATAATAAGAGAGAAAAAAGACTAGGGAAAAAAAAAGTGAGTCATGAAAAGAAAAAAAAAAAGAGAGAGAGAGAGAGAGAGGGAAAAAAAAACTATTTAGTTAAAAGAGACTTCCCAGGACTTCTGAGCTAAGGTAATGGTAGAAAAACATGAAACTTATCATGACCATCACGAATGCTGTTCAGGGATTCAGGGATCTTGATACCATGGAAATGACACTTGTATTCAGAATTATCTTACATGATTCACATATAAATGAAGATGGCTCAGATTTTTGCACAGTAATAACACATCAAGAACTGCAAATGTTGTTTTCTGTGTACATATATGCACTGGATAGTGCATTGTGAGACAGAGATGCAAGAAATTAAAGAATTTAATTTTCCTCTTCCAGTCAAAAAGGACTGATCTAAGCTGTAGCTCTCACTATGTATAGATGCTATAGGTCCTGATATATAGAGATGCTACTGACTTCAGCATCAACCAGGTATCACTGTTCTGATGCTGACTTGAGACCAATATAGTCATTTTTTTGAGAAATAATAATAATTTAAAAAAAATCTCTAAAATTAAATCCCTTTATTTGTTTCTGTAAATGATGTTTTGTAAAATAAGTATCAGAAATACCATTTTTTGCTATATATATTTTAATTGCATTCCTTTAGCCTCTGAGAAACATGACTGCATGTTCTTAACTAGAAGCATAAAACTGACAAAACTGCTGAGAAGCCAAAATGATGTATTTTTTTAATGCAGAATTACAAGAGTTTATGGACACCAGTGACATCAGTGGTACAGGGGTGAGGGGCTGCACTGATCCGCTGGCACTTCTGTGTCTGCTGCAATGCAGTTCAGGCATCCGCTCCCTCACACAAAACATTTTCTATACTTGATAAGTAGGTGCCTGAAAAATGATGTTTAGTGTATGAAATACACAATGTGTTGAGCTCCTCCCTCAAAAAGCTTTTTAGAAATCCCCTGAGATTTCTAAATTTCTAAGTTTCTGGGTGGATTGAACCCAGAAAACCTAAGCAGTGAGGCCCATTGGCATTCACAGGTGGTGCCAGGTTTGCCTCCACCAGGACACAGCTGGAGCGGTTGCACATTTGCTCATCAGCACACTCGCTAAACACCCGATACCTCCTGTTGACACCTGCATAGCACACCTTTTGGCCAGAACACTTTTAAGAGGCAGATTATAGGGATTTGAATCCTCCAGTGCAGAATTCACTTCTTCAGTGATTATTCAAAGGAGAGGTTGCAACTAGGATTTTACAAGTGCATGTGTGATCCCTGCTCAATTCTTTGAAACAGAATTTGTGTGCACCTGCCCTCAGGAGCAAATTTGGCTTCCAAATGGGAGCACCCAGTGCCTAGCAAAGGGCAAGGGTTCAGCTGCATCCTATTCCCTGTGCAGATGTATCATGGCTGATGTGAAATAGAGCAATTGCCTTTGTACTGATGCCCACATTAAACACAGGAATGCTTTTCTGAGCCTTTGTATAGAGGTGTGCCACTAGTCATGGCACGGCAGAAGCTGTTAAGCTCCCAGCAACTGCAGCCTGCGATGTCCTTTAAAATACTGAGGCCAAGACAAGAAAAAAAAATGAGGCTTCTTTTATCTCCATTTTTCAGACAGCGTCAAACCATGTCTACATTTCTGATAGTTGTCTCTTACTGACTGGCATGACCAGCACTAAAAATCTAAGCATGGTAGCACCTAACTGGAGGGTTCCCAGGCTCTTTACTGGAGGTAATTTTTAGATTTAAGTGCAACTAAACTTTTCAGAGGGGTCATATCTAATTCCTTTTAGTATTAAAGCCAGGGACAGTGTTCAGCATTTCTATCTACTGGGCTTTCTATTAAAGCCCAAACATTGTGAGGTCTGGGCAGTCAGATCTAAAATAAGTCAAGGAGTATGCTTTTTATCATACAACACTGTTTGTAGAAGCGGTACGGAAAATGCTAAATTTTATCAATGACCTTGTAGAACTGTGTTCTGCTTTCAGTGTTTAACACATCCATTTCTGTCTTTGCATTTATAATCTTCCTTTTCTTCTCATATTTTTAAGCTCAAAGTAATTATTCTAATTAAAAATATGGAAAAGCCAACAAATGCAAAAGTATTTTTGCTTTTGAAAACCATCAGTAATTGCTTCCAGTATCCATTACTTTGATGCCTCATGACACGTTTTTATTTCACTGCTCTGATATTGTTCTCTTCCTACCAATGCAAATTTCATATATTGATTGGCTTCTACAGTATTTTACCCAAATTCATTACATTAGCAAAAAAAAAAAAAGCACTGCTTTATTGTACTAATGGGGGGGAAAAAGCACCCAACCAGACATTTTGACCATTAAATACTAAAGCTGCAATGCTTTAACAGCTGAAGACAAACAAGAATTTTTGCTAAATGTTATCCACAGCGGAGACTGGCTCCCCATTTCATTGTAAAACTTGTGAAGTATTATTTAGAAAACTACAGCAAAAATAATTACAAATTAGATTACCATATATAAATTCATTCACTGAAAGTAATAATTAAATGTCAGAAGACTGGGTATCAAAGAAAAAGATGAAAAAGAAATTATAAAATGTCAAGAACATCTCCTTTCTAAGTGTACAGGCATCTCAAGGTACAAAAGCACATACATGAGAAAAAATGAAGGAGTCTCATAAGTAATCTGTGATCCGACAGGTCAAATACCGCTTACAAAACTACACATGAGAAATTGAATACCTCTCAAAATCAAAATATACTGATGTGCAGACTATATGGTATTTGGTCCCTATTAGAAGGACCACTTTCAAAACAATTAACTCAAACATTTCCTGGATTTCTCTTTCTCTCCCCTCTTTATAAGAATAAGGTAGTCCTTACTGCATGACTTCAGTACAGGCCTTTCTAAACTCACTAATGAACGAAGATATCCATCCAAATAGCTCCTGAGAGTCTAGGTCTTGTGGTTCCCCAAATTTAACCTGTAAATTTGAAAGAGAAACATATTTAACATTAATATTATCCAAATAAGCTTATCCATCTCCAAGGCCATAAAGAAAGGAAAACAGCAAGAGAAAGGTTAAATATCTACATTATTATTATTTAGTAGAAAACTTAGACCTGTCTAAAAAATCCATTAAACTGAGATCCAAAACATCTCAAGCAAAAGTGGTCCCAGGAGTTGTCATTAAACTACCTCAGTAGCCTGTTCCTGGCTTTCTGTACAACCCAGCTTCTCTGGCTGAACTACAGATCTCCAGCTGAAGAGAAGAAAATCAGTAAATCATGCAGCTTCGTGACTTTGCAGTTTGTTAGTTAAATCCATTCATAAACGAAAGTGTACATTAGGGAAATATTTTATATTCCAGAGTGGACATAGTAGCATTATATTCAATCCAAAATGTTTTCATTTTCTGATGTTTTATTTTGCAAATAAACAAAAATATTCACTTTGATGTGGGTATTTTTGAAAGAAAAAGTAATTTATCAAAGAGACACCTTTCCCTGCTCTGTTCTTCTTTTCACCTGAAAAAGTTGAATGGATTGAATTTTTTTCAAAAGCAATCTGAACAATATTGGCATCATGTTTGCTCTATTGTAAAACAAGAGGTAAAAGGCAGTCATTCTATAAAGTTCAGTGCTAGGAGAGGGATTTCTGAATTAACTAAAATCACTTCCCCATATGTTCTCCAGTTCCAGGGCAGAAAAGGATTTTTAGTATTCAGTCTCTTAAATCTCTTGCTGAGGTTTAATTCAAGAGGCTTGCCATCATTTTCAATGATTTGTCCTTAATGATATCAATGAGTTAAAGAACATAAGGGCACCTAAAATGGCTTTCTAATTGAGCAGAAGAAATCTAGAGAATATGCTCCAAAGGCTTCAACAAAAGGTTTAAAAAGGCATCTTGTGTTGCTGCAAGTTCTTATCTTGCCTGTAATTGAGAGCTACTGTGTAATTGGGAGATACAGCTCTCCCAAGGCTGAATAGCAATGTAGTTGTATTTCAGTATCTCAAATTGCAACTGAAATGGAAAGGTTTGGACAGGTATCTGTCATTATCTAGACACATTCACCTGGACATCATCTAAGATGCTCTTAGAAGCAAACTCTCTGCCTGGAACTCATAAATACAGTAAAAGAAACCGCTCACATATAATCCAGTCACAAAAACTTTAACGTTAACCAGTGATACCTGATTAATACTTTTGCCTGTTGTGCTCCTAATTGCACCTCCTGGGTGCTCCAAGTCCTTGATCTTTGGCACACCTCGCCACTCACCTGTAGCGTACCATCAGTTAAACAGTAATGAGAGAGACATTTCCTGGAGCTAATGACCATCTGTGAGAAGTTGATAGCCCACAGCTATACCACAGGCAGTTATCTACAATTTATTGTTAATTCCATAGAAGTGTCACATGCCAAGGTCATTATTGATTTTATAAGCAGAATATAAAATCATAAAGGTAGGCCTGTGGATTTCTGTTTTATGAGCAACATGACTTCTGTGGCCACCTACATCACATTTCTACATCAGGTATCCCCCCAGGTAAGCTGGACTATCCCTTCCTAGTGCTGTTCAGATGATAGCCTGGTCTTTGATCACCCATCCTATTTTATATTTGCTTTATGTTTTTGCTGCTTTATAAATATACAAAAAGATCTGCCTAGCAATAACAGTATTCAGAAGAAAAAAAAATCCAAGTGAGAGAAATATATCAAAAGCTTAACTTTAGAGAATAAGAAGGAAGGGAGGCAAAAAGCAACTGGGTAAATACTTGAGGAAACTTCTGGCCATGTAAAAAATGAAATCCTGTTCAGATGCAAATAAGAGTCTTGGATTTCCCATTCCAAGCAAGGGAAGCAGAATCTCACAGATGATGCTGTGCTATAGATTTGTATGTTTAATGCCCCCTGCTTGAGTATTCATGGCTGGGCAGAAACAATGTCTGTGCAGGGAGAATATGACAGGAGCAAGGACATGTGGGAGGACATCACTCACTGGGCATGTCACAGCTCTACAAGCAGGACCAGCTGCATCATGCCAGCTCCTTCTGCAAACTGACTTCCAGGTAAAATGGTCAAAGTCTTCCATATCCCAGGCAAGCAGTGTCCCTAGATGGTTTTACAACAGGAGTCTCCCTACTTTTTGATGAATGCTTTTCAACCATTTTCATTCATCTAACTCAACTGCTAATTCTCTCATTTAGACTGTTTTTCCACCTACTGGGCACTGCGTTCTTCGCTTATGTGCTACCATACTATTACGTCTTGTTACACTATGCTGTGTCATTTTTCCCATTTGTTAAAGGTTGCAAGAGACACATACACACACACACAAAAAAAAAAAAAAAAAAAAAAAAACAAAAAAAAAAAACACCTTGTATGTGGTTACAATATTCCTTTTAGTAAAACATTACTAATTAATTTTCCTTGGTCAAACATGTCTCTAATCTTCACGGTCTCTTCAAATAGGTCCCCAAAGGTTATTCTGGTGGCATCTTCCTGTTATAATATATATATATAATATGGCCTATATTAAACCTCCCTATATTCTAATCCCCCTCTCACCCCTTCACACAGACCTCACACACCAAAATAAATAAATGCCTTAAAGTTCTGTCTAAATGCCAGGAAGTTTTCCTAGTTTCCGAGATCAGCTCTTCATTTCAGCAAAGCCATCCCTTTCTTTAAAACCTCCCAGTGAGACTATTCTGCTGGAGAATACTGTTACAATAGCAGAGGCCTCCCAAATTTCTCTGAGAACATTGTACAAAATGAGGATTCTTCACACTATGTTGTTAAAAATTGCAGCATGGAGTTTATATCATTCCTTTTGGTGTGACCCTCTGACCCCAAAAAACATTTCCTATTGTTTTGGACCTAGATGACTTTCTTCTTTTCAGAACAAAAATTGACTGAGAAAATTAGGTGCTTCTCCAGTGCAAGTGTGGGAGAATGTAATAGGAACAAGCAAGATCAGATAGTTTATCAGAAATCTTGTGCCCAAGGAGCTCCCTTTTTGCTCTGCTCATTTTTAGATCTGTGCTACTACCAACATCTCCACCTCTCTCTCCCACAAATAACAGTAACTAAATCAATGCCATGGACTATAGGCTTGTCACTAGAAAAAAGCCCTCAGCCCTTGTAACAGAAGCTCTGCAAGCAGAAGATACAACTTGTGCTAGACACCAGAAAACATGCTGTTTTCTGTAATATCTTGAAAACATTCAACCATTAAACTGGCTAGACTTACAAAATTGTTGAACGTCCACTTTTCTTTCTGATATTTGGGCCATAAACCCTCTTAAATGTGGGCTATAAGTCCTGAAGAAAAGTAAAAGCCATATTTTCATTCAAAACATTCCACCATTGATACATTTTTTTTTCCAGTTCCTGTGGACACTATAACTATAAAGCATGTAGAAGCATGGGAACTTCTTGCATTTTTCTTTTTTTTTTCCTTAAGAAATGTAGATCTATTTTCATTGCACTTTAATACAACACATACCAGTACATTGCTATAAAGCTTCTTCATTTCATCACATCTTTTTGACAGCTGGGATAGATCCTCTTCATATTTCTGAATTAAATCCTGTAATAAAATAAAACTTCTTAATTTGATATAGGAGCATAGTATTACTGCAGATATTAAACAGTAGTGAAAACAAGAGAATTCAAGTCAAAATTTTCATGTCACAAAAATTTCACATTTCACAAAAGATAAGTACACATCAAACACACACATTTCCTTGCAAGTATTAAGGCATCAAAGAAAAAAAAGTTATATAACTTATTAAAATATCATCTAATGTTACTACCCAAATCTATTAAAATTAACAGAACTGGATAAGCATCATAAGGTCCTAACTTCCACTCACATTTGGCACAGTCTCTTTGCATGCTAAGTAAATATTTCCAGTTGCTAGTTCTTAAGGAGTCAAAAGCAAAGCCTTATTTTTTAAAACAAATTTTCTTGATCATGGTCCTTTGCAACATATGCATTTAAGGCAACTTAGTATTTATTCAAGAAGCATACTGGCCTCCCTATAGGGGCTCAGCCACTTCTCATAGCATCCTCTAACCCATCCTGTTGTGCCATTAATGTGGACAGAATCATCTTAAATCAAATTATAATCACAACTTATTCAAGCTCTTGGATGATGTTTCTCCGTGCTGTTTTCTGAGGGCAGAGGGAGTTGTTACAAACTAAAAAAAAAAAAAAAAAAAAACTGCTGTTATTCCAAAGTGTTTAATGTGGGTGACCATGGAACTATCTGTTCCTCATCCACTCCAGCCAGTTTGCCTGTGAAGAAAAAGCAAGAGACGTAGAACCTCTGAAAAGACCTTCCATGCTGCAGCTTGTGGTATGAAATATTATCAGAGGAGAATACAAGGTTGTCCTCAGATACTCCTGACCCCCTTGTCAGGGTGGGATTCAGTGAAAACTAAATAGATTGCTCATCCTTTATCTGCAGTCCACAATAAGGTTATGGTTATGTTACCTTTAGCTCCTTGCAGAACTGTAACTCCTGGGGTGTTGCCTTGATTGTCTTGGGTTTAATAAGCCTTCTGCACTGAATAACGTTTTCCAATTCTTTTTTTAAAACTAACAAAATAAAGAAAATGAGCAATTTCACTAGCATGCAGTTGTGTTCAAAGGTGTACAAATATTTAATTTAGAACACATGGAAAAATAGCAAATTATGGGTCTATAATATCACCTAACAATACTAACCTTCTGTTTTCAAAGAGAAATCCTAAAAGACATATAGGTCTTGTGGGGAAGAAATAGCATATGATCGCACCATAAGCAACTGCAGAATAATGAAGAGATCAATAGTATGGTTATGCTGCAGCTGTAAATCTGACCTTTCCTGGCTTTTGAGCACTGGAATTAGCAATGAAAATAACATTCTTCCAAACTACATCTTTCTGTAGAAAATTCAGGGTTCCATTAAAGATAAAAGAATAAAAATTCCCCTATTAGTAACAGTAAGAAATCTTGTCAGTAGGCACTATGCCCTACACCAGACTGTTATTGTGAGGGTTCTGTCTGTATGAAATGTGGAGAAAAGAACTGACCCACGCTGCAGTCCAGTTTCTTTCTCCTCTTGTGCTCAGTTGAGCACATGAGCCCCATGATGTGCCTTGAACTACATGGTGGGAAAGGCTGGTTCAGTGGCTTTTGGCCCACCTCTTTCCCTCTCTGGCCTGGAGAACAGTACTTAAAAAAAAGTAATCTGCATCAGGAATCCAGGAGGGAAGAGGTCAGTCTCCTCAGGGTCTCATAATTCATGTCCTTTGATAGCCGCCAACAGTTTCTGATGCCAAGGTTGTTCCACCACTTTAAGCATGACTTTACATATCTGGCTTTAAAATATTTTGTTTGGAATTTACACCAACATTGTGCCTGACAAACACAATTGATTGAACGTAAATGATTTATATATATACATATATATATACACACACATATATATAACAAAGTATATATGTATTAAAGTATATTTACTTATATGAAGAATATATATATGTATAAATACAGAAGTATATTTGCTTATACTCTTAAATTCAGTTACTTAAATTTCATAAAACAATTGATTGGAAATTCTTGGAACAAAATAAAAACTATTTGGTGGTGTTAAGCTACATGCCTGACTGACTCACGGAGCCCAGCAAAATAGGTGCAAGGGCTTTTCAAACCAAAAGCTGAGAACAAGTGGCATTCACATATGTTATGAGTGGTTGAAATAGGATATATTAGTCTGTAGTGACATAGTCAACATCCATGCCACATTTTCAAAAGACAAATTTTTATAAATTTTCAACACAACACAAGTTTTTATCCACTTACATACCTTCTTTATCAGCTCTCAAAAGTTCCATTGACTGGTCAACTTACAGTAGTGTTCAAAGGTAAGTTTTGAATATCTTCCAAAGTCTGTCTTACATTTGAATGACTATTCTGTTCTCTCCTATTGACTTCACTAATGTTGGACTCCTTTCTAGAGATGGACACCAGTTTGGTTCAAAGAAATTCTTGAACTTCACTACTGAACTGTGAAAAGTTTTCTCCTGCTGCATTGCCTGCTCCCAGAGACTCTGTTACGGTTGTAACTTTGACAGAGCTCTTGTATCGCTTAACATCTGTACTTTAAGATAAACTCTATTTCCCATGGGCGGTATATTTTTTTTATATTCCAAAAGCACCTGGACACACTTTAATATTTCTTTTTTAAAATTCTTCACAGTAACATGGCAGGTTAAATATCACCATAGCAACACTTTACCTCAATATTTTGAGCCTTTACACCTCTTTACAAACTACAGAAGTGCAATGAAAACCTGTTCCAAATGACTGCACAAAGTATGAAAATCTTTCTCTGAATTCAGAAATCACATTTACATACCATCAACTTCAGCACTTAGGCCCTTCATGGAAGCTGGAAAAGAAGAGAGATGGAAAAACATGCTAATAATATCATTCATACTTTGAGATGGAGGTTTCCAGAAAAGTTGAGGGATTTCATTTTTTATCTGTTAATTTATTTATTTTTTTTTTGTCCGTCCACTTACCATCAGGAACAGCTTCAAATTCTGTCAGCTCCTGAGAAAATTTAGCCAAATCAGGCTCATGTAAGAAGATCTGTTCCACAAGGGCGTGAAGCAAGGTGAATGTCCTCTCCTTACCCCGCAACAGAGATAACTGCAAGTAGAATACAGCAATAATTGACAGACTGTGTTATTATGCTAAAAAAATATATATATAAAAAAAAAAACAGCATGGATTTTGATAGCTCCTATGTAAATTTGACAAGAATAGAAAACACAATGAAATTAAACCTCTCCTTTTCAAACTGCCATCTCTCAGACATTCTCAATTAAGATCAGCTTTACACTTTCATATCCATTGACCTTCCTTTCTTTTTTGTCTCTTCCTATTCACAGAGGTCTTTTTTGACTTAAGGTATTCTAATTGATTGCATCTGATTTTGGACCACCAAACAGAGTCATTATTCCTTTTCATTTAAAAGCCGTGTGCTGTGTTCATGAAGACAGTAAAGTTCCTTAATTGAATCTAGGAAGATGCTCTGTGGCAGAAAATGATTTTCTTGGCATTTTTCATTATGATAGATGTGGTATTACAACCGTTATAAAAATAAAATAAAAAAGTTGTATCTCAGAATTGCCACTAGAGTTATAAATCACTCACTCATATATTAAAGTCTCCAGATGGAAAAGATACGTTAAAAAAAATATATATTTTTTTTCTTCTATTTACAATAGTGTTAAAGTTACAAGGCAGCTTAGGAAATTTGTATCTACTTCTTAGTTTTTAGGGTAAAAAATAATGCTCTCTGTCAGGTAGAGGCAGGGGTGTGGGAACTGTATTCAGTGGCAGAATTTTCCAGTGGCATATTATGGTGAAAATAGGAAAGCCATTGCCTTAAAATTGATGGAAAGCTCAGCCTACTGTAATGTAAGTGGTAGGTGAGTGACGAGACTGGTAAAGAACTAACAGGTAGATGATGTTTTGTTTTCTTGGTGGTGGCTGTTTGTTTGTTTGTTTGTTTATAGAGCATATCTCTATCAGTAAAGGCAAAAGATCACAAAAGCCACCCTTTTCACCCATCCATTCCATGCAGAGCACTGATGGGGAGTACAAGGAGGTGTTAAAATCATTAAACCATTGCAGGCAAAGTTTCCTCCCTTTGTATTTGTTCATTTATTTATACTTTGCTTTTGAAACTTGACCTTGACATTGCACGGTAGCACTTGTAGCAAAAGGCTCTTGCTTTAGAGTAAAATGAAGCACCATGAAGGAATTACTCCAGTGCCATAAAAGTGCTGCCCTGCAGAAGAAGTGCTGGAGCTACAGCCCGTGACCATAGTGAAATGAAACAGGTCCATACGACAGTGCTCTGCACAATGCAGCAAAACACACTTTTATCTAAACTTGCATCTAGCCAGGGCCTGCAGCTCAGACATCTCTTCTTGCCAGGGGATCTTAATATCAGGGACATCAGCATTTTGATGTTCTACCTCATTAGAAACATAGCACATTCAACACCACAGTGCCCCCATCTAGACAGCACTGCTGTCTAGTATGGGGAAATGCATCTTGTTATACTACACATTAAAGAATACATTATTAAACCAGATTTTGTTTCTAGTGTAACCAAGAGCAGATGTTAAAATGTTAGCTACTCATTAAAAATGATTGCCTTTCTCCACACTCAGGGAAAAATTGAGTTAATGTTAATGGTCAACATACATTATAATATGGTGATTTTAATAAAAAGAAAAATATTTACTCACTTTGGTCAAAGATGACAATCGAAATCCTTTAGCTTTCTCTTTTCCAGCCTTTTCATTTAAATGGTTTCCAATGGCTAAAATGTACTCCAAGACAGCAACAAATTTCTGGCTGGATTGCAGCTGCTTACTTGCTTGGATTTTCTGGTTTATTAGCTGAAACAAATCTTCTTTAAGTTCAGATTACATGTGCAAGTAAAACAATGGTGCTATACCTGTCCTTTGCCAAGCCTCACTGTCCCACCTGAATTCACACTTTAGCTGTTATCTTCCTATTGAACTTTCTTTGGCGAACAAGCCAGGGGGCTTCAGGAAGGAGCAGTTAAATTCTCCCAAGATAAAGCTGGTGTTGGCACAGTTACCCTGCCTTAGATGGAGGTCAGATCCTCTGTGGCTGCCAAACTTGCCCTGCTACAAGAAACTCAACCTCATCTCTTAAAATGCATCTAAAGGAAAAGCCTTTTGCTGTTTGAATGCACCAGATTGCACCAAATGTCAGGCATCGGGGGAAGCAGATAGCCCGAAGCTCAGTACAAGATTCTCCATCCTTCACCTCTCTCCCTTCTGCTTATACCAACTGAAGACTTATCAAAATTCTCGGTACAGTTTCCCCCGAAGAAAGAATAATAATTTCCTGTAATCAAACTTAGTATCAAATTCTGTTTTCCCAGGGAAGACACCTCCCTTCTAGAGCAATAGACACATGAGGTAAATTCATTTTGAAATTAGGAAACATATATTTTTCTAGCATCACACCTGCCTTCAGCTGTCACAAATTTAAAAGTAGAGAAATGAGGAAACATGAGGGAGCATTGAAAACCCGTGTCAAAACTTACAGAGCATAGCACGGGACCAGAGGGTGCTGAAAGAGAATACAAGATTGTACCATGGAATTCTAGTTGCATTCTACACATTATAAATGTGTTAGTATGTATAAGTAAGAAAAGAGGCATTTAATCAGTTGTTGAATCAGTTGTTTGATATTGAACAATAAATATCCTTCAAAGCAACCAGTATATAATAGCTTCCAAATATTCTAATATTTGGTTTCAGTGGAGGATAGCAAAGGCATAGCGTGGTACCAGACAGGGTCAGGAATCTGTTCATCTCCCCAGCGTCCTCCATCTGTTCCTATTCTGAGTTTTATTCACTGTTACTATGGTTTTGGCCACAGACAAATAAAAGAGAACAACTCTGACTTGCAGAACTTTAAAATTTTGTTTTCATTCCCACGTAGAATGAGAGCAAAACCTTGCAAACCTTTTAACTGAATCAAAGCATACACAAACCCTGACTGGTAAGGCAGCAGGAAGATCCAGTCCATGAGACTTGCACACTGTTTATTTGCATACCCTCACCCCACCCCATCCTCTAGGTCATCCTGAAAAAGGCAGAGAGGGACTTGAAGTTTGGTTTGCAACACTGCACTTTAATGAGTGAGTAGTTCTCAGGATAGACATCCTCCTTCAATCTTCTGAAAATAAGAAATATCTATGAGATGCTGGTGCAATAAACTCACTCAAGTATCTATGTCGTTAGACCAATTCTTTCAGCTGCTGAGGCAAGAATCTCCCTACACAAATAATTGAATTTTAATGGTGAAATTTGCCTCTGTCTTACCTGGCCAAAGAAAAAAGAAAGTTTAGGAACCCCAAATAAAAATTTGAATATCTTTTACCAACCCATTAGTAGAAAAAGGATGATATTAAATGTATATGCATGTATATACCTGCATATCACAGCCTTCATATGTCTCTATCTATTTTTTGTTTTTACTGTTTTGTTTTGAACCAGTACTGTGGAACAGTCTGTCATTAACAAAACACAATAAAATGAGAACAATTCTGCTAGCTAATGTTAAAAATGAATAAATAAATAAATAAATAATACTGAATTTCCCATAGTACCCAGGGAAAGGGGTCGTATTAGCTGATCCAAGATCTGTTACATGTTGCTTACATCCTGCTTTCTGCAGGTGACTAAATCACATCAAGTTTCAGATTCCCAAAAGCATTCAGATAGTGGCATTTTATTTCAAATGCAGCATGTCTCTAACTGCCATGTTCCTTGCAATTCCTTTGTTATCAAAGCCATGATCTATAAAGATTATTTATTTTTATTTTTTAATCTTTTTGCTTATCATTTTTGAACAGCACAATGAAAGTATATTTTATACATTTGGATTCTTGTATTCCTACACTATGTATTATCTACATTATGGAATGTGAAATATTTTGCTAAAGTAAAAAAATATATATCCCAACTACACAGCTTTGAAATCTGCACCAAGGCCACTTGGGCCCCTGCTGTCTAATTGGTAGATTTTGATTACAAACAAATGATAAAGCAGTCATTTGAAAAAGCAGTCACTTAAAAGCTGTAACTCACAGGCTCCAAGTCTCTCATGCTCATAGGTAGTTCACGTATGGTAAGCAGGAGATCCAGCCTCTGGCCCAAGTGGGGGATTTTACACATCTGCATAGAAGCGAACAGAACAGGAAACAAAACCCATTGAGCAATTCATCTGCAACATAATTTCCTTAATTTCTGTGCCCACTTATTAATTTTATTCTAGGCCTTAAGACTACAGGCATACTCTGACAAATAAAATCAATCTGCTTGTCTATGACTGATTTGTGTATGCATATCCAAGAATACGCTGTATGCTGGTAGGGCCAGACGCTATTAAAGTCAATGGTGCTCATTTCTCGTGAACAAGAACAGCTACACATATACAGTTTTACATTTAGAGATTTGGAAAATCTAGCTCAGATTAAATTAGCTCCTATTTTGGGGGAAGAAGAGGACATATTAATTGGAGATGCAAAAAATGGATCTGTAAAGTTCTCTTCATAATTTTTACTGTCTCAACTCTTTATCAGATAAATCCTCTTATAATGGTTCTGACTAAGGCTGTAAATTTAAGTTCCAACTAACAGCTTCTTGAAGTGGTTTTATCTAGAAGGAGGTGTCCCAGAAATAGTGCATGGTGTGTTTTAATGCCATGTTTTCTTACCTCTAACATAAACTGATCAACTACATGCAGCTTTGAAGGAGATCCCTTGAATGACTGGTATCTTTCTGCATCTTTTGGTGTTAACATGTATCTGTAAAACAACAAATGTAAGTCAGATGTCCTTTTCCTTGAATATTGCCATAATGTAAAACAGTTGTTCCATTCCATACATCAGAATTCCTCACTGTTTATTGTTTTATATTTTGCATATTTATTCTTTAACCAATGGTACTTTTTGGACATTTGAGTGAATGGTGCAACAGAAAACAAAAATGATCTGCAGATAGATCTGCATATCTATATCTGCAGACTTACAGATAATTTACACTGTCATGGGTTTTGGTAAAGGTAAAACTGTATCATAAGGGAATTAATGCTATTCTTTCTAAAATATTCATTAATTCTGTGCCTAATATACATGCTTTGGTTTCATTTATTGGATGAACATATCTGACAACCTTTAAAAAGCACCTAAAAACAACATAGAGTTTTTAAGCAGTTAGGGACATGTTCATTCAGCTCATCTCCAGCAGTAACTTCTTTGAAAAATTAGCACAAAAACAGAGCAGGCTCAGGTTATTGTGTGATTGGTTCTTGGTTATCAGGTTATTGTATGAGTGGGCTCCACAGTCTGACCAACCCCTGTACATCTAAAAATTTTTAATTGCCCATGGAACAAAGGTGGGTAATGGTGTTTCTGGCTCTCTAAGCACTGTATCACATCCGAGATCTGTTTCTCGTTTTTGTTGTGATAGCACATAATACAGACCCAAACTTTCTTCTTTCTTAATAAGGTAACAAAATATTTTCCCACAGCACTCCAGAGCCACAGATTTTTAGAAAAAAATTACATCTTTAAACATTTCTGCACTTAGAAAAATAAACTCACAACACCACAGCTCCCATCCTTTGGAAATCTGCCTGCCTGATACGCTGTGGGAATTCAAAACACATCTAAAAGAAAAATTGAATGGATGTTATAGCTAACATATAAGAAGGATTGTTAAGAATTTTAAATATGTATTCAGGTCTACTATCATCTCTTTTTTCTCTGGAAAAAAAAATATAGCAAGTATGATTAAATAGTCATGAGGATGAATATGCATTTCTATTAAAAGTAAGGAAAATTATTCAAAGATGGAAAAATAAAGCTAAGTTTTTAGCATTTTAAATACAGGACAAACAATAGCCTTTTTTTTTCCTGTTGTCAATATTTTAATATGACATTTCAATTTAATAATTACTGGGTTTTGAATTATTAAATCTATATTAAAGCAGATTAGAAAATATTCCATTCATCACCCTTCATCTTCAAAAAAAAAAAAAAATCTCATTTTAAAATACCAGTTATCTGCTGGAAAATGAAAAGAGTTTTATTTATCATTAAAAACAGTTGGTTTAACTTTTGCAGCAAATTCAAAGAACGTTTAAAAAAACTGACAGCAAATATCTTCATTTAATCAGAAGTCTGGCATTCCTTTTTTTAATATATTATATATATGAAATGAAACTAACAGGGTATTTAGTAGGTTTACAGCTTAAAGCATTAAGCAATGGAAGCCAGGGGAAAGGAAGCACAAGAATATATGAATGCATTCCTTAAATATCTTTTACATGAATGTAACTACAGGGGAATTTTTGTAACTTGAAATCTCACACTGTTCTGAAAAAAATAAGTTTGAAGAGAGAGCATACCTTGTTTTTTAAAAATGCCAAGATAAAGAATTCATTCAGACAACTATGGAAAAGTTTTGCTATTAAAATAAGTCCTGAAGTTTCTAATAATATTCCACTACCTCTGTTAACCTTTATTGGATACCTGAGTAGAGCATTTTGCTCATTGGTCACTCTTAGAAATGTAATCTTGTTCTTGGCTTTAAATATTTTTCATTTTGTGATAGTGGAATTCAGATTTCCTGCTCAGGTTCATATGACAGGTATAATATGCACGCAGAGGAGTTTTCCTCTTCCTGACCATCCTGTTTAAACTCCTATCATAGCCACAGGTTCTCAGCTAATTGGAGACTGGAGTTTTCAATGGTAAAATTTTCCACCATGACTCCTAAAGGAAGTGGAAAGATCTTCAAAAATGCTAAACGTCCTGCTACTTCTATCATGGCAACTCCACTATAATGCATTTTACAAGAGAAACTGCTGATTGCTGACATTTTCAGATAAATATCGGCCGTTTCAATAAAATGTCTGAATGGCAGTTGTAAGACAATTAGCTGTCTTGGAAATCCACCCCCAGTCAGAGAATGCATCTCTTTGTATTTCAGTAATATTTTAAAATCTGTTGGGTTGAGGGAAATAAGCTTCTTTTCCCTACAAGGTTTGTACACATTTTCCTAGATTTTGACAATAAACAAGAATCCCAGGAATAGAATCCTTAATCCTATAGAACATACAGCAATACAACAGCCAATGTCTGGTACATGTTCCTTTGCTAGAAAAATTACCTCAGCATTATTGCTATCAAAGGAAGACTCTGAAATCTTTGCTGCAAAAATAAAATCTTTGAAGATTCTTTACCACCATCAGCATTATTATTGTTATTATTGTTTTCTGATGGCAAAGAGCCCAGATGCCATAAATCACTGATCTCAGTGGTGCTATACTAATTTCAAGAGCATGGCGATCCTGTAGCAAATCTGCAGTGCTGTACAATGGCTTGAACAATGGATTGTGTTCGGTGTTTTCCTGCAAAAGTAGGTATGAGCAGTGGCTGCCCTCAAGAAATAGGCTGCTCAGACTGGGGCATTCCCTCACTTCTGCCAGCTCCGTAATTACTTCTGTGATTGGAGAAAACACAAATGTTCAAGGTACTTCATTGCAATTACACTCTCATCAATTCCATCACTGCAATTAGAAAGTGCAGTTATATTTAATATATAAATATACTTGTTTATTTATATGAAAAACAGCCAGCTTCTGAAAGAAAATGGAGCTCTATTATAGTAGAGCTATACACGTTTCACTAGTTCACAGTCTGCTGTGCACAAATGTGGGGTACAAATGGTAAAGCATGTAGGAAGCATGGAAACCTCCTCCAGAACACTGGCATATTTTAAATATTTAATTACTCAGTGCCTTGTCCATGTCCCTTCATACTTCAGGTAAGCTCTCTACAAGCCATCTCAACAAATGACATTAATTCCATGCATTTCACATCTGTCCTTCCTGTTCTCATCATTTTCTAAGTGCAGACATGATTCTGCAAACTTTACTTTAGCAATTAGGACCAGGATTTTAAGGCCAGAATTAAAATCACTGCACAAAAAGTAGGCACACAGATAGAAAAAAAAAAAAAAAGTTACCTACCTCCTCACTTTTTTTTTTTTGCTAGCATCATGATTTTCTAAGCTCACTTTTAACAAAACACTCAATTTTCTCATTTTGAAGCAAGAAGCAGTCTCACTTCAAATTTTCATAACAATGTGTATAATAAAATGGCACTGGTACCACATGCTTTGCATGAGAACTTGGATGTGTAATGAATACCACTCTAGGACCCACTTTTTTCCTGTGTTTTTAACTAGTCAGAGAGAAGACCCAATTTCTACAAATTTCACATGCTTATAGTTTGCTTACACTCCTGAAATGTACTACTCTCAGTATAGTTGTTTTGTTTTTTTTGTTTGTTTGTTTTTGTTCGTTTGTTTGTTTGTTTGTTTTTGTGGGTTTTTACTTTGTTTTTTAAGATATCAAAATTTTTGTTCTGTTTTAAACCCACAGATCTCTGCCACTCAGAAATACTGATATTCTCCTTTAACACTTGTCTGGCTTCCTATGTCCAAATCAGTTTTTAAACAGGGAACAGAATTCATTTTTTTTCTTTCATTTCTGAGCCCACAATAGACAATAAGGCTGTAGTAAGAGATGCTGTGAAGTTTTCTGACTGCTACACCTGCTCACTGCAGGTGAGCTCACTCATTCTTTTACTAACTCTGCTCCTTGTAACCAGTTTGACAAAGTCCTGTCAGATTTGCTGTCGTGTCCTGCAGTTCCCTTCCTACACAACATGGGGAAGAGTTATATTTTGGAAGAACATTCTACAATGTCTGTTGCAAGAACAGAGATTTCTGTGTGCAACTCTAACATTTTATCTATGGTCAGGATAGTTTCAATGTCTCAGTAGCATTTTTCCTGAACTACCCATTATTTGAATGAAATTATGCCCTCTCCAAAACATAGAATCTTATAAATAAACAATTGAACCCCAAAGATTACCTTCGTAGTGCTGTAATCTGCTCATCTGTAAGTCCACCACTCTCTTCATGTATAATGTATAGTTTTTCTTTCAACTCACTTGGTTTTATATGAAAACTTTTAAGAAAAATGTCTGGGGAAAAACAATTCTTAAATTACTTGGAAGAAAATGCTCAGGGGAAGAAAAAAATCAAAACATTTCATATTTATTTTCCAGATTATAAAAAAAAATCACTTAGTAGCTGCTAATGCTAAAACAAAAACACAGTCTTCATATTTCTTTTTAATATACATAGCAGTAGTCAAGCAAAAATATATTTTATGTCAGAAGATAGTCAAAGCTTAAGACAGAACTATCAAGATACTGTTATCAGATGGCACTCAAATACTTATTATTATATATGTCTCTTGCACTCAGCTTAACATTCGAAATATTTTTTCTCTGAATAACAACACCACAAACTGGCATACTGTAGTATTTTGAATGTTAAAGAAATTGAGCTTTTCATTTGTTTGGATTTTGTTTACTTGCTTTGTTTAATTTCTAGGGTTCAAAATAAAGTAATTGGAGTCCATGCAACAAAAATTAATCAAATGAAGGCAACATGGGAAACTTCTTCCTCACTGCACAGTGAGTATGCTTTAATACTGTGTTTGTCAGACCTTCACTGACAGATACTCTTTGGTAATCTTCTAAAATCTGATTACATTTTTATAATGTTTAAGATGTGTGCTGACTTGGGGCTGGCTCATAATACACATTGCAATAGGAGAACTGGAAATAAGACATCTCTTCTGCATACAGGGTGAAGAACCACTAGTAAGGCTGTTGCTCCCGAGAAGACTACTTTGCCTTACCAGTTATTGTTTTTTTTTTAAATTACTGCCTGTTTCCATCATCATTACCAAAAAATAAGGAAGTAACATCTGAAACACCAAGGAAGTGAACAGAAGGGCTAAACAGAGAAAGTGAGAAGCTTTAAAGGTAAGATGATATCCATGGCCAGTAACACAGTGAATAATTCATAGTAAAATATTGATTTTAAAATTTAGTGCTTCCTTTTCTCAAACCACTCACAAAGCATTTAAGGCTTTCTTTAATATTTTCAGTGTTTGAAATTAGCAACTGAATAATTTCTAGTCATCAGACTTCACAAAAGAAATCAATTGCAAATAAAACCGAAGATGTTCTCTGTCACTCAAAGGTCATACGGGGTTGTTTCAGCTCCTTGCCATGGTTGCACTTGTTCCGAGAATGGGATTTCTAATGAAAATATTTGTGGCACAGATTCAGAATTAGTTTTCTAATCTCATATACACATTCATAATTCACTGTGTCTGTAAATGTTACAGCTGTTCAACTCATTTTCCAGAATACCCATGAAAACCTGCACAAAGTGGATGAACAGTGATTTTTCTGAATATGGTGGTTTACCTTTAAAACAAAGAAAAGCCCTATTCTTTTATAACACACACTTTTTTTTTTCTTTTTTTTTTTTTTTTTTGAAGAGGTGAGTCCTTGCATCTTTTCTAAATTTTCTTTCATTCCAAAAAATGATCAACATTTTTTTCTTCAAAATTAAAATTAATTAACTGCTCAGTGTCTACCTGTTTCTTGAAATTTTTCTCAAAATTACCACATTGTCCTAAGTTTCAAAATATTTTCCTAGGCAAAATAAGGATTTTACATAGGGGAAGCTGGTTCTTTTACAGAGAAACAGACATCAATCAAGTCACAGAAGCAGTTTTCTATCCTAAGTCAGTTTTTCACCAATGAGATCCCACATTCTTGAATTAAAACACACCTCCCCGGATTCTTTCTTGGTAATCTGAAAGTGTCATTCTTGTTTCTCACTTTCTGACACTTTGTTCTCTGTGTTGCAGTTTATCAACAAGAAGCCACCTGATAACTTAGCTTTTATCTGCATTTTCTCATACACCAGACTTGAATTTATAGTGTAGATCTTCTCTCAGAACTCTCATTTTTCTCTTGTGTTTGGACATCCACTTAAATTCTCAAGAAATTTTAACCTACTGGCATTTTGGAGCTTCATCTTTTTATTCATTAATTTAAGGACTGTGGTTTGTAACACTTGCAGGAAGATTAATCAGAACTCTCAGGATCAAATTAACTTTTGATCTAAGTACTGTCCATTATAATAAGTACATGATGGGACTTTAAGGATAAGATTAAGAAACGGTCTTAGAATGTCTCAATGAAAAAAAGTTGTAAGACGAATAGGATCAAAAGGAAGAATGGTGCTATTTGCAAACCAAAAGAAAGAATTTTCCTAAAAGAAACTGCAATAATTTAGCAGATAAAAGTGCTATTACAGGATTCTTTTTATCTACAACCAGACTTTTGTATCACTCACTTCCTTTTAATCCTTCAAATTATTAGTCAATGGATGTAATAATTCCAACAAGTTATTTCTATTTACAGTTCTCAATTAAAACTTTACACAATCTCCAAAGTATATTCCTTCTTATCAATATTCATAGATGAAATCATTAAAACTTCAAAATTAACTGCCCTGAATTCTTTACACTTGTAACGTTTCTTAAAACAGTGCTAGGTTATAGAACTTTTTGGAAAGCCATCTCTGCAACAGAAACCATTATAGTCTTTGAAGAACAATTATTCTTTCTCCTTTAGTATCCAATACTTCTAATTAGAGTTCTTGAAAGACCTTTACGTTGTTTTATTAGCAAGACTAGAACCACATGTTGAACTGTTTTATTAGTTTTAAAATACTGTTCTAGGTTAGGCCTTCGGCAGAATCATACCCAGGTTATGGGAGGGAAGGATCCAGTTCACGATCATTCAAGACAGTCATTCACAGTCTAAGTTTTCTGAGTCAGCTTGAAGAGAGAAGTCAAGAGAGTTCCTACAACCAGGCTTGTAGCTATCTCAAAGGCTTCTTACCAAAACATTTCAACCTACATGAATATTTAACTCAGTGTTGGAGAGAGACTGAGCACAGCATCCAAAGAGCAAACTACCAACCTGCTTTCTGGTGACTTGTGTCACCTGGCCAACCCACAACATTTTGAAAGCCTTTGAAGTCAGGGTCTTAACATTGATTTCACAGGTGTCATATATGATTTTACATGTCTTTCCTAAGAAAACAGCGTCACAGCTTGAGGGCACATCCAGATATTTTGTAAAGGAAGAGCAGTTTGGTGCTTCTATTCTACATCATTGAAGACCACATTTACAACAATTGAGCCTTTAGACCCAGGCTTGTCTCTTTTACCCACCAAATGGTAGAAATCACAAATAGCAAATTCATACAGTTCTCACCCCAGTTCTTCAGATAGGAGTATACAGTTCTTAATACACTTACTGAAGTTATGTGCAACTTTTTGATCTAACAGGATGTGCTGTTTGACTGGAGGTTCACTGCCTGAAAATGCAGCCAAGTCCTGGATCTGGAACTGATCACAGAGTCTGGAAATGTCTATTTTTTTCTTGCATGGATCACATGATCCCCAGATGGATTTTTGAATCTAAAACATAAGAATGACAGGGAAGAGAAAAAGACAAAATAACAGTGTTACTTTGTTCTACCCAAACATACAGAAGTGCATCCCGGTTGTTTTGTGGCACAACTGTACTTTTATGATAATTATACAGATAATACAAACTACTTTTTTTTTTTTCCTCTCTTTTACAGCTACTGTTAGTTTCATCCTTACCTTATCACAAGGAACAACATCCCAGTGAAAGGCTTTAGTTCTCTTTGTCAAGGGAGAAAGGCTGCAGGGCTGTGGGAACACAGGTGGGGCTGGTGGCACCTCTGCCTTACTTATGGGAATTGGAGATGGTGATGCCAGGGCTGCTTCCCCTTCTGCAGGCTTTGTCCAGGAGTTTAAAGGTTTGTTCAAATCACTTGTTGCAGAACTCAAACCGAAATAGAGTGCCTCCTCTTTCTCTTCATTCAGAGCTACGGTAACATTCTCGTAATCAGCTTCAGAGGAGGTGTCTCCTTCAGATCCCTCCTGAGAGAGAGAGGTACCCTTGCACAGCTGACAGTACCTTTCTATGAGAGACACCCATTCATTCTGGAGCTTGCTGACATCCTCTGTCCTGTTATTTTGGACAGTAAAGGGTATTCGAAACCTGAAATTTAAGAATGCCATATATAAATGTAAGGAAGTGTAAATAACATGCTGACTAATACAACCATAGATATTTCTTATTAAGCAGAATGATGTTCAGCAGCTTTACTTGTCAAAGGAGCCTAGTGCTGCTGACTCTGACCTTTTCAGACAGAGTTAATTGCTTACGTGTCTAAGGTTAGAGAGCTGAAGCTTTGCCATATATTGACTTTGTGGTGCAGTTACCTCGTAATTCCTCTTCTCCACCTTGAGGGAAGGTGAACAATGTGCTAAGTCTTATGAGCTTGGTGCACAAGCTGGTCAGAACCTCTTCACATATGTGTGCAATCAAGCCAATTGGTATCTCTCCATTGATTCCTGACACAAGGACTAGACAAGCTTTTGTGGGAAGCATTTCAATGCCCCTTCTCAATTCCACTGTGTGGTGCTTTTGATGCCATCTTAAAATACTCAAATCACTGTATGGCTATGGGAGGGTTTATCTACATAAATTTGATGGCCTCATTCCCCCCTAGCTGTATTTTCTTCTGGGACACTCAGATTCTCTGCTGCTTGACCTTGTTTTCAATTGTTCTGCTTTAACAAATTATTAATTAGCAATTATACTTACAAATAATTGTGTTCTTTGGTCTGGACTGAAAAGGTACCACATTCATTCTCCTTGCTGACACTCACATCACCACCTGACAAATTAATTGTATTCGTTACAGAGTGTGCATTCTTGCTCTCTCTTCCCAGACCTATGCAATACAAAGTCAATTCTCCTTCACGTAGTTGTACCAAGTACCTGGAGGGCAAGGAATAGAGATTCTGTTCATTCTTCACAGACTACTTATTTACACAGTCCTTGTCTTTGTTAAAGAATTTTCTACTGTCAATGAGTCACCACATATTAATACCATCTTCCATGGAACAGACAAAAAGTATCAACACTAAAGCACAAAATCTTTGAGATAAAGGCTTCTTACTCTCATCAGACACACAGTAAACAGTGACATAAAAGATGAACTTCCTGACTATGTCTGTGATCAAATTAGACAAAATTAAGAACAAGATCTGTCTATTGACTAAAAATCACATACATCCTGTTAATTTATTAGCCACAGTCTGTCTCCCCGACTCATTTTATGCTTCTCATTGGCTTGTGATGGTAGTTCCTTAGGACTGGTAGCTTTTAACAGAATTTATTATGTGGCTGATCAGAGCATAATATGTTGAAGCTTCAGTTTCTGGGTCTTCCAGGTTTTTCTGCCACCAAGCTATAAACAAGCCACCAGGATATAAGTTAGTGCACAGCCTTATAACCCAATAACTCTCCCACGTGGAAATGCCTCAGCGCATGCTCTCTCTCCATGAGGACTGATCCTGGTCCCCTTCATTCCCACGAGTCATGTGGGAGAAGGGAGTAAATGCTCTCCACTCAAGGGCTTCCATCAGAATTCACTGTGCCAAAGTGTGGGTATTACTGATTCAAAGGATAAATTATTCCTGGCACAAATTGCCTCACCATAAAGTTTCTATGACAGTGAAATCTCCTGCTTCATTCTCTCCTCTAGGATTCTGCTCTGCTGCTTATAACAAAGGCCCCACATTCAACAAGTGCAGGGTTTTACTGTATGTGTTTTTTATTTTTATTTAAGCATTCGAATTCTCACTTTTCCTGAGGGTTAATGCATTTCTTTATCATTCTGACAGTCCTATCAGACCTTTCTTTCCCTCTACTCTCTCTTCAAGGTGTGGCTAGTTGATTAAGGTGTTATATGAAGAATTTAAATAAGTTTTGCAACACCAGAAGAATTAAACATAAAATATAAATTGCATCTATTCCCACATAAACAGTCAAAGTGATAAGAATTGCTTAATGGAGCTGGCAGTTATATTGATCTCTCCTTTCTTTAAAACAGGGACTTATAGTTTAATCGGATCTCCAGATGTTTCCACCATTATTTACTTTGCCAAAAAAGAGAGGATTAATATCAAGTGGGAAGCAACAAGGGCTTTGCTTCACAAGATAAATAAAAATCAATTTTTGTTTGTTAACAAACTTGTTAAATGTTGCAAGGTAACAAATCCTGAGACACACTTGAGGATAGTGTTTACAAGACATACAATAGTAGCCTTTAAAAAACAATTAAAATCATTTTATGTGAACTGTGAAGTCTTTTGAGATAATTGCCCCATGCAGATAATTACAATGTTAAATTTTTTTCATTAGTTTCTGCTAGATGGATTTTTTTCCCCTCTTTTTCTCTTGTTTGATAACATAAGCAATACCTGACCATGGGGGGAAAAAAAGATATTTTAGAAGCTGGCTCAAGAGAAGAGTGGGTTCTCTGTAGGATGGGCAGCCATTTGGCAAGTGAGAGTCAACATTCTCTAGCACAACTCCTACACTCCTTATCTGCTTTCCCAGTCTTTCTTTCCTTTTACTGTGACTGCAAATTGAATAAAAAGTAAATAGGTAAGTATAAAGTGCCATCATTAAAATCACTGACAACCATCATTGTTATATACTTGTGTTAGTAAAACACGCTAGGACTCCACCATTTGGGGCACCACTATTACACTAACAGTTAATTTCAATGTTTTCAACTCATGCAAATTGGGCATCTAAGTTTTAACTTTAAAAAGAAATTAAACAATTAACTTATTATCAACAAAATAAAATCTTAAAGTATTTGCCAGACAATTCAACATAATCTACAATCCAAAGGTCCATAAAGATATAGTTCATACTTCACCCATTCAGTGGATATAAAACTGTTCTGCTGCAAATCCAGCAGTCCTTCATGTATCACATCATATTCTGCAGATCTTCTAGAGCAGGACTCTTCTGGTCTTTTGTATGAGTTACTCTGTATAACTCTGCTCAGAAGGTATATTATCTATATAATAAGTGTCAGAGAGAGAGCATATTTTCCATATTAATTCCATTGAATCAGACACTAACAGGTGGATTTTTCAGCTGCAAAAACATTGTCTACACCATAAGAACTGGCCAAATAGGTAATTTTTATTTATTTATTATTTTTATTTTTTAAGAATAAATAGGATCTTTTTATGATGCTTAACTACTTAACTGCAATTTTTTATCATGTCCACAATCCTAAACCTGTCTGTATAAGGAGAATATACCTGTCTGTATAAGGAGAATAAAACTTTCTTCTGGAGACGTTACTCTAAAACATAATTTTACATTTATAGTTCATATACAAAGCAATCTAAGACAAAGTTTCTGTTCAGTTCAGTTCAAGCCCAAGTAGTACTTGACTGATTTAATTAGAAATCTCAAATGAACCCAGAAGAAAAATTAAAGTTTGGCATAGATGAAAGTAGCATGGATTAAGGTGGGTGTGAATTTAAATGACTCTTGTTGTTATACTGTGCCTAATCTGAGTGTTCTTACCACAGAACAAGTGTACCTTTAAGCTTTTCTGCTAGACACAATTTTGAAAATTAAGCTAACTAGCCATGAGGTGCTGTCTGAAATAAAAGTTCCTTCCTATGTTGCAAACTGATAAGCTTCATGAGGGAGAAACCCCTCTGCAAAAGATTTTCTCACTAACAGGTTACTAAAGTCTAAACTCTTACTAAACTATTCCATGTTTTTTAAGAGTCTATATCTCAGCCTGAATAGCGCATCTGACTTTAGTGCTTCAGCAGTGGGATGGCATGAATTCCAATACTTGACCCACCCCCAAACACGGTCAGTATCTGCACTCAGGTGAAAGGCTAATTTCACAACTTGAGTTTCTCAGATTTCAGTGTAGAGCCTAATTACATGAACTCCTTAGAATATTTGATTCAGCCTAGAACTCAAAAGGAGCTGAAACAGTTCATACAAAATCTTGCAAAAATTAATTACACAAATACCTAGGCTGTCTTCCTCTGATAACTTTATAAGTACAGTATGTTTTGATGGTGAAAGAGGAACCACTAGCTCTTCTCCCTCTCCCCACTCCACCCACAGCATGAGGGTGGCCTCATTCATTCTTAAGAGTATGCATTTTTATAAATGTATGTCTCATATAAAGAAAACAATCTCTTAGAAAACTTCAGTTAAAATCCAAATATGCATGACATCAGTTTTGTTTGCTTGATTTATACAACTAAGTCAGACCAACTGCCTTCAAGTTGTTGTTGAAAAAAAAAATGGATCTATCTTCATGTTACATCCCAAGCTAGTTGTAGATTTTTAGTCTTAGTGGCCAAACTTTATCCTGGACTCACATTCCTTTTGCTCTATGTATCAACATACACAGAATAAAGACATGCCTACTGCTTTGATTACACAATGCACAGCATAACAATTCCCATTTATGACTGGGACCTGCTGGGTCCATACCATAATATTAGCTGTTATTTATAGCAATCTATCCGTGGCAGTATAAAAACTTACCTTCCTTTTATCATCAAGAGACACTGCTTCCAGCTCATAATCTTGTCGCCCATGAAACACAATGCTGAAGCGTCTTCTTTCAGTATCTTCACAGGCTTTGACTTGTGAGAAAGGGAACTGTTTCTTAATAATTCCTTTTTCAAAGTTAAAAATTGTCTTTGTGTTGAAATCAATCTGGAACAGAAAGCTCTCATTACTTGATTCCGTCACTTCTCTTCACTGGAAGGGAAAGAGTGTCCCCAGTATCACCATGAAAGGACATTTAGATAAAGGATCAGCTTAGAATACATATCTATTTTGCCAATGATTAGAATAAAAAATGGCTTTCCATCATTGAGATACAGTACTGTATTTGTTTTAGCTACAAAACAAACAGGGGGAACACAGTTATAATGACTATCTATTTCTTTAGATGAATATGTATCGATTTATCATTCTGAAATATTAATTCTTTTGAAATTCTCCTTTTGTTATGAAACAGTGCAGAAATTTCCCATAGCAGTAGTGGTAGCACAAACTAATGGCATGACCATCTCAGTAGAGATTCAATTACTAACTAGTTCAATCTAAAATGGAGTGAAGATGCTTATTTTTGCAACAGCACCTTCCATGTAAGGAAAAGAGGATATTTGTAATTTACTGGTAGATTACTTTCTGACACAAACATTATTATACTTTTAGATCTGATCTATCACATTTTTTTATCTATATATGTATATACGTGAAGTGATATTAATAGTCAATAAAGTTATTTTTTTACTGCTTCCCAGCTGCAACAATTAAAAAGTGGTTGTTCCAAAATAAGATTGTGCAGTGGAATGATGATAATCTTATTTACAGTGTTAAAAACTGGCACAGACAGATTCCAATATCTGTTCTGCATGTCCACCCTTGCTGAGCAGAAACAGCTTTGTTGATACAATGAGATGTGAGTATTTTCTGACTGTCCCACATCAGCGAGAGCGGCCCACAGAGAAGATAAGCTCAGATATTGCCTAGGTTAGATATTTACCTCTGGTCATAAATGATTCCCGGCACCTTTCATTCATATACTGCAGACTGTTCTAACTGGATTTTAATACCATGGCCTTTTCCTCATTTCTGTTTATAGCAGGAAATCTCCAAAGCAGAATCACTCTCATTATTATCTGTGACTTTTGATAGCTACTGGTAACTAGAGGACTGCAATTGCTCCAAATTTCCAAAATGAGTAAAACAAAACAAACAAACAAACAAAACTGACAACCTTATGAGCAAAGTCAATAAGGTATTTGCCTTAAAATCTACGTTTGCATTTTAGCAAATAGCCAGGAATAGCCAGGAAATAGGAATGTAATACTCCCCACAGAGCCCAATTTGGCAGCCCTGAAAACTGCATTTCTCTCTTTATACACTGGGGGGACACAATTCTAGGATCAAAACCAAGTTTCTTTAAAACCACAATCAGAATCTTTAAATATTGACCAGAAAATCCTCCTTTTTCTAGTCATGTCATATAGCTCTGCCAGAAAAGAAAGGTGCAATGTGTGAAGTACGTGTACAATCTGTGATGAATGAGTATCTACACCAAATAAAGTGTCATTTTTAAATTAAAAACTTTTCACAGTGCTTTGTATTCTCAACTGGAACGAAGTTAACTGGAATGACTGCACTGAAGTCTATGAACCTGGTCCAATTTACACCTGCTGAGGCCCTGGCCCAGGAAATGAAAAATAAGATAGATGACATCTCTTTAGGACATGTTTGTTATTGTAATAGAGGGTTTGTGAACCTGTTGGGGAATCAATTTTAGCATTTGAAAAATAAATAAATGTTAGAAAACAACTTATTAAATCTTAAACACATTACTTGGAAATGAAAAATTTTCAGAAAGATCTGCCAAAATGTGTATTGTCACTGGGAATTCCTGAGTTCCTCTTACTTTCAGTGGGGCCTGAGATTCTGAGTATTCCCGGGTACATTTCTTCCCAAGTGTGTAAGTAGGTTTTAGGGGTTGCAGTTGAAATTACATTAGCAAAGTAACAAATAACAACATCTCCAAGGCAAAGATAATAATAAATTATCTTTGTTAGAAATTTGGGGTTTTCTTAGAGATGAAACAACCTCTTAGATCATCAAGTTCACTCTACAGCCCTGTCTGGGGCTCAGTAAAAGGAGTTTCAGATATTATTCCCAGAATAGTTTTGGAGTAAAATGGAGAATATTTCTTCGTTATCTTGCACCCCACTGAACCACAGAACGTATAAAGTCATCTTGTAATATTTATTGAGCGACCTAAGTGTCTAATATTTTAAGCACCTAATATTCTTCAAAAGTAAGATTTTTTTAATTACCTGCAGAATTCGTTTCTGCCACCGATAGTGCTTGTATTTGTAGATACTAAAGTTAAATTGTGAGCCAGTTAGCAAATCCGGCGAATCCTAAAAAATAGAACAGAAATCAGCAATATGTCCACACTGTGTGTGGTGTTGTCTTGTTGTTGTTGTAGTTTTGTTTTGCTTTTTTATTATTATTATTCGTACACTCAAATACAATCATGTTCTCAGGTGAAATCACCTCAGTAAACAGTGATCAAACCGTGCTGGGGGCTTTGTACAAACACTCCACACGGAGATATGTAGAAGCACCCTCCTGGTCTGATTTTCACAGAATATCTGCAACTCCTGCTGAACTAATGGAGAGATCACAGATTTGGTTGGAAAACAAAACAGAGAGCAGAAAACAGGAAGGAGAGGAAGAAAAGAACAGAACACATGCAATTTTACCAAGTACATTTCAAAATACATGATTATAAGCCATTTATTAAAGGCACTAACTAGCAAACAAGGGCTGTTGGTGACTTTAAAGAAAAATATTTACAAGCCCTTGAATATGGTGCATTAAAATGGCAAATCTTTGTTCCTTGATATTAAGTGAGGGTATACAATTTGATATCTGATCTCTTACATCAGTTATTTTGTTTGCATGGACAATGATTAATTTTACATCTTTAGGAAAATGCAGTAAGGGGAAGGTCATGATCCAAATATATTAAGTTTCATTTATTTCTAATAATTAGCAAAATCTTTAATGTGGCAAACGTAGAAAAGGAACCCTTTCTTTTCTTACTCTGAGAATATATGTCCACATAGTCTTACACTGCTGAGTTCAATATTTTTGTTGTCTGCAGACTTTCTGCAAAATTTATGCCACTTTTATTAGTACTTATTTTTGCTACTTCTTCTACTTTTTTCCAGCCAAGAAGTTAATAAGCAGTTCAGAAAGATATTTTTTAAAATTCCAAAAAGCTCAGGTTTGTCTCAAAATCGCTATTAGTTCCTGCCGTGCAAGAAATTTTCAGATTGTGTCATTAGCACATCATAAGATTTCACTCCTTCCTGGAGATTCTCCCATAGGGAGGGTGGTTCAAAAACCCCAATCAGAAAGGGAACTAGCTAGTGAAAAGTTCTCCAAGGAATCCTCTGCTGGATAGAGATAGAAAGCAATGAGGGAGATGAGACTGGGAATAAGTAGAGGAGTACAAGGCTGATGTATTAATGTATACAAGTAACCTATTCAGGGAAGAAGGAGGTTTGTATGGACACATCCAATCTAAATTTAAAATACTTAATCCAGGTAATGACATGAATGTCGCCACAGCACTTACATGAGATATCCATTGAACAGGACAACCGTAGCAGCAGATTTTAGCCTTTAGTACCAGAAACATTTGGTTTGAGCTGGAATAAACTGGAAATGTATGTTTGCACAAATCAGGGCTGCAGCTTTGAAAGCAGCACAGATATGCTCCTTACACTCAAACACAGGCTTTCCAGAACATGTTTGTACATTTGGATGTCTTGCAAAATAGATCAAACAGTGACCTTACCTTTTCAGCATACACCTCTTTCTGTGCCAAATGCAAAGCTCCTTCAATGCTCACTTCTTTATTTTTCACCATGTTCATAATTTTGAGGATTTTTTCCTGGCTTAACTGGAAAAAAAAGTCAATCAAATGTTTTTAAAGACTGTTTTTTCATCCGGCTATTGAGGATACTGACTGCTTGTGACAGTTGCAGCTACAGTTTCTGCCATAAAATTACAATTTCACTCATATTTTATGTTCTATCGACAACCTGCCCAGCAAATATAATCCCCCTTTGAAACCTGGTGAGAGTCCACAAGATATCAAATATACAGGGGCTTTTACAATTTTAGAAGATGGGGTGGTAATATCTGGAGACAGAACTGCCAGGAGGAAATCTTTTTAGTTAGAAAATCTGGCAAGAAGTGAAAACATCAATTTTGCATGCTTGCCTGTGTCTTACCCGTAGTGCAAAGTACTGCATATAAACAACATGAAAGCAAAATCAGACCATTCGAAATTTTCAGGGTGAAGGGGAGAGAAATTGATACCTGTACCACCAGGTACAGCTGTCACTTGAACTTATCTGAATGCGTTAACAAGCAGGCATTACACTTCCCCTTTCCTTTGCTTTAAAAAAAAAAAAAAAAAAAAAAAAAAAAAAAGTTGCACTGTCAATAAGCTTACACACGTTAATTTATGTTACTCTAAAATGAACTGGGTGGGGATTGTAATACCAAACCAGAATAAAGCAAGAGAAAAGGAAAGTGGAGTAACCGGGCCACTTACACTGTAGAAGCTTTTCCACAGCCCTTCATAGGAGGAATAAACAACAGCCTTCTGAGACAGACTGAAGATTTCCCCAGTAAAATAGCCATTCCTGAGCAATAGCAGAACCAGAAATTTAGAAAAAACACGTACCAGAGCTCGGGACTTGTGCAAGAAGCTTACTAACATGAGGGAAGTCACACTCCCACAAAGGAGTGGGTTGGTTTTTTTTCCCCTACAAAATATTCAACTCCTCATTCTGCTTACTTTTACCAAATCTTTGCGTCTATTGCTTGTTCCAGCAGATATGCTCAGGTTCAGCCTAGGAACTTGTGGTTCTTTTATCTGGTGGATTAGCTACAACAGTCAATTAGCTACAATATAGGATGTTTCCTACCTCCCTGGAGAATGACCTCCCCACCAGGAGATAAGTTTCTGTGGTAAAATCTTTCTTTCAAATCATCCTTTTTAAACTCTTCCACGTGGAGCTCTCCCATAAGAAAAGCCCTCTCCAGGAGCACTGCCCCGGCTGTGCAGTGAGAGGCACCTCAGTATCACAAGCAAATCCGAATTTGGCTACCCCAAGGATGAAGCACCGAGACCTCAACTGGTTTTGCTGCTTCTGTAACAGGAAAAAGAAGACAAAGAGCTAAAGCCAGGGATTGCTGGTGAGTGAGGGCTGCTGCCCAGCTGCTGCCCAGGAGGGGATGGGTAAGCAGAGGTGGGGGCTCCCCTCACCAGCTTTACCACACAAAACTGGTGATCACTGCCCCAGCAGCAGCCCCCAAGCAGCTGGCCAGACACCAGAGGCAGATGGAGCAAGCAGCAGGGCTGCAGCTGCTTTGCCACCCCCAGCTCCTTCCTCTCCTGACCAGCCGCTTCCTTTATCTATGCCCACAGCTCTCCACGCATACAGCAGCTTCTCTGCTCAGAGCCCCAGGAAAGCGGCCTTGCAGCTGAACAAGATGCTGCCCACCCATCCAAGCACCACAGGCACTTAGCACGAGCCTGATGGGCAATGTAAAACAACCAGCTACACCCCAGAGGTCAGTGACTTGTAAATCCACAGGTTGTCTCTTCTTCCCGGTCACACTACACTGAGCACACTTTAGCTTTCCTGATTTCCAACACAAGAACCCATTTCTGATCAAGAGACATGCTGCACGTTTTTTGCAGCCCACAAATAAAACTAGGAGTAAAAGAAGAAGAAATATTTTGTTTTTAAAGTCTTGGAATTTTCAATGCTAATATAAAGGTAACTTATAGCATAGCTCCCAGCTGCAAATAGCAATGTGAACAGCAAGGAAAGAATAAAAGCAGTCTGATAATTCATTCATACTTGCTGAGGCACATAAGGTTTCTACAATGACCTCCACATTCTGTATTTGAATTTTAAATGGCCATATATTTACACCACACACACACACTGTATACGATTAGATCTTAACAAGATAATTCCCTACTGAATAGGCTCTGTGTAGGCAAACAAGAATATGGATATATCTGAATTGAATAATATCGTTACCTTAGGGCTAAATTCTACCAGCTTTAAAGTGCAAGATTCTATTGCAGGATTGCAATTCTTGATAGGAAGTTGGGTAGTCTTTTTGGAACTGTTAGGTCCTTTTCTATGGTGAAGGGTTCAAAGATTTTGCACCAGGATAAAAATAACATAAAGACAACATCATAGCCTTATGACAAACACACAGTCTGATTCACATAAACAAGAGAAGGATTTATCTCCTTCGCTTCAGCACACACGTAATTTAATGTAGGAGCTCAATTCTCATTTGAATTTCACAGTGGTGTTTGACAGCACAACATATTGTGCACATCTGCAGGGGTGCTTCCTATGAATGGCCAAAAAACGGAGTTTCAGCTTCCAAAACATGAGGCTTTGAAGTCTTTTTATTTTTTTTTCCCCACAGGATATCGGTGACTCGTCCACCATCTCTGTTCTTGTGCAGCTCCATACTCTGCAGTGTGCCAAGCACTGGCTATTTTAAGGTCTGTCTTTCCAGGCAAATAGTCTATCCTGCACCAGGGAACCTCACCACAACATATCCACCAAAACCAAGACCCTTTCTTGTAATTTATTGTGTTTCTGATTTGCATTGCTGAAGATTTTCAAAAGCTCTTTTTTTCTTTTGTACAAAATTTGTATTCATATAAATTCACAGAAGTTAATGCATTTTTTTATCTACAAAATATTCAGCTCTTCGTTTTGCTCACTTTCACCAAAGCCATCTTTAGACCAGAATGAAATTCTGCCTATGACTTGAAAACAACAGGAAACATTTCTTAATTTTCTCAATAATGTATGAAGACAAATATTTGCAAAAAAGGAGCAAATTGTTTTCTATATTGCAAATTCAGGAAGGTTAGCTAGTAAGTTAGACTGCTGACAGTTAATGCATTCCCCAGAGAGTGCTCAAAATTTGGTGCTTGGTACAGGTTATTTTTAACAGCACCTTCTTGTTTTAATGTCTCTGTTAGCTCTTTCTCTCTGCACATCTGTAAGTCAAGGGGGTGGGGGGAGGGTGGACACAACGCATTTCAAAAGAGAGGCAAAAAAAGGCACTTTTCAGCTTATGAGATCTGTCAAAATTATTTGTCAGAAGTCTATCTGGCTTTGTTTTTTGACATCTTAGCACAGTATTTTTACTTGCAAACAAGACTTGAGCAACAGATCCTGACCTTTATCGTTTTGTATCTGTGGGGCTTTTCTCTCAGCACATCACAATTTTTGTAATGCTCATATTTGTGTTTATTTTGGTTACTTTTTTTTTTTTTTCTTAAAAAGAAACAAGTTTTGTCAAACTATCCACCAAAATGCCACTAAGTCAGATCATGTTGTATTGCCTAATAGAATGTGACTGGTGCAGTGAAACAGAATGTTTCTATACCAGGTTGAATAACAAGACTTAGAAAATATCTTTTTTTCTATTATAAAATATGCACATTAAGAAAATACATGAGATTCCATTAATAATGCATTCATTTACCTGCCAGGTTAAAGAAGTTTGTTAAATACAGATTAAATTTTCTTCAGCCACCCAAAATTTGGTATAGCCACTTAGCCAATCTTAAAGAAAAATCAACGCTTACAGTTGAAGGAAGAGCATGGGGCTTCAGGAATTCTCTATACATCCATTACTCTATAGGATAAGTTGTTCATATGTTTGTCCAAGATACAGTATAAAATGTGTTTAGTGGCAAGATGAGAGATTTCTGGCTTATTCTTGGGCAGTTGCTAATGCAGTACTTTTCTCGACGCTTTACAGGACTTCCTGCCACTCTCCATCCACCCAGTATGATCTCACAACAGGCCCTAAGAGGTATGGAAGGTTTTACATGTAGTCCAAATGCAGTGGTAAATATCAGAAAAGGTCCCCAAATCTTCCGAGCATCAACCAAGAAAGAGGGGTTACAGCCACATTAGGAGAGTCATTTACAGCTGGTTGAACACAGCAGCAGAAGGCACACAGAGTGCAGGAAACCTCTGAGGCATAAGACAGGCTAATGTCTTCCTGGGCCTGTTCCTTCCAACTCTTGTTCTGTAACGCCCACTGGCTCACATCCTCCAACCCACCACAGCATCACTGACTCCTGTAGAATCAGTAGAATCCCTTAGGCCCTCTAGGTTGCAATTCAGCACATGTAAGACCTGTTTCTTTTTCTCTGTTACCTACAGAGGCATTTTAGCTATGTGATTTTTCCTCAGCATATTCATATTCCATTGACCATCCTACCTGCATCATAATAATATGACAGTAATCTAAAGCAAAAAGACTCCTGGAATGTGTGCACATACACCCATGGAAAAAAAAGAGCAAGAAATCTGGATGTCAGTCAGCTATACGTATGATCTCAATTATTGCAATACTGGGCTGATTCAGTAAAACATTATTTCAGGTTTACTCAGGTGAAGATCAGAGCTAATATGCACCAAGCTCTATCATTTCCTGTTACAACAAAGCCAAGTCATGCAGAAATCCTGCTCCCTGTACAAATGAGGAAATATTTTCATTCACATCTAGTCAAGTTATTGATTGCTCTTGCTAAGCATTCCTTACATTGTCTTTATTAAACATCAACAAGGTTAAACGTTCTCTGTTAGCTGCAAGGAGTAGGAGACAAACCAGTGTCTGGCTGCTGCAGGACCCAGAAGAAAGGCTGGAAGAGGGCTTCCTCCTCTTCTGCACTCCACAGAAGCATCTTCCTTTTAGCACTGCTAAGATCAGTTCTTTAAGAGACAAGGGGGCTCAAACCAAGAGGGAAGAGCCAAGCAGAGACTATGCATTTCTTTACAGAGGTCTCATGAATTTCTTGGCATTAGCCTGACTGAATGCTGGTTGTCTCCACAACAATGAATATTCTGTTTTAACATACTTGCCTGATGCTTTTTTTCATCCAGCATAGTGAAATATTTTCACTTCATTTCATTTAATTTTTTTTTTTTTTTAATATAGCTTTTAATAATAGATTTTTTTTCTACCTAACAAAGGAGGAAGAAGTGACTTAGAGGTAAAGCCTTCTGGGGATTTTCTGTTGAGTCAGTGCCTTCCAGCTGCAGTACACAACACTTTCTGGAAAGCAAATACAGTGGAGAAACTTAAAAATAAGTGCCAGGATACAATGCGGCGATTGACCTCGGGTGAAATTTCAAGCAGCAACTTCCTTCTCCAAGCTGTGCTTTTAAAGAAAATGCTTTTTTTTTTTTTTCTTTTTCTTTTCCTCCAAATCAAAGGCACTGGCTTAGTTTACTGTAGTTTACTGAGAGTATTTGCCTTCTTTACAGTACGATGTTGAACTCCACTCTGCCTGCATGTTGAACATGTCATTTAAATGATTTTCAAGACAGCAGACACAATCTTGGTTGCCTTAAAAGTTACAGTTCTTATCAACTTTCATCTCCTAATGTATTCAGTTTCACCAGGCTTGAACTTGGCCCAAAGTGTACTGAGTGCTCCCATATATTTGTAGGGGAGTGGCTGTCTTCTATGTTTGGGGGTATCTGAAAAACCTTCACTTGTAATTTACATGAAATACCAATACAGATGACTGATGGGATATTTTTATGTGGCAATACCATCTTTTGTAGCCAGTCAT